CCTCCTCCCCCCGAATCCTGCCCCAGCCCCGTGCCTCCCCCACGCCAGCGATGCCCCCTCTGCCTGCCAAGCCTCAGTTTACCAGCACCCAGGGAGCCCCTTCCCCGCTCCAGGCAGAGCATGCTGGGAGTTCTGCGCCCCCCAAGCAGTGCATGCTGGGCGCCTGTCGGGGTGCAGTGCCCGAAGTGGGGGAGGCTGTGGGGGTAGGGCAGAGACATCACTGCTGTCCATCACCCCATTTTGCAGAGGGGGAAACTGAGGCAGGCAGCAGGTGAAGGGGCTTTGCCCAGAACCTTGCCTCAGAGTGAGATGCCATGGTTATGTCTCTCTGCAAGAGGCTGCGCTCCAGACCCCAAATCTCAGCTCTGAAAGTCACTCACCCTCTCCAGGTAGGCGGCCAGGCGGTCATTCAAGTTCTGCATGGTGTCCTTTTCATTCATACCAAGGAGGCCTATTCCACTAGCACCAGATCCAATGCCTGGTTCATAACTACCTCCTGGCACACACTTCACAAATGCATCACTGGCAGAGGAAAGGTAACTGCCAATGCTCCCAGCTCCTCCATGGATACTGAGCAGCCCTGGCTGCAACCCTGCTGCACTGATCCAATTTAGTCTGGGCCCTTGAGGAACCCCAAAGCAGAATAAATTGCGACTTAAGGAACTAGCCATGCTTAGGATATCAGTGCTCAAGGTGCAACAAAGCTTATATCCTCCCCCTGGAAAGCAAAGAGATGACAGTGCAGGGCAATCCTTTGGACAGCTCCCTTATATAGAGGAAGGGAGGGGCTGGGCTACAGGAGCTCACTTTTCCCCTATTGCCTGAGTACTATCCATGTTGTTTTCTGAACGGGTGTTTGCAGTTGCCACAGGAAAACTCCTGTTGAGTTGCTTTTTCTAGTTTTGTCAGCCAAACTGGTCTGCAGACTGGCTTTGATCTTTGTCAGCCCCAGCTGCACACCTGGTTCACAATCCTGCCCCCTGTGTATTTACTCTGCATGCTTCAGAGCGTACATGGGTTCTAAGAGCAGTTGGCTTAAAAATCCTGGAGGCATATGAAAAGTTTTTTGGGGGAAAGTGTTCCTGGCAGGCCAGGAAAGGCACCATAACAAGTAGTCAAGAGAGCAGCGCAGGGAGTACTGTGCGCAACTGCTCTGCCACAGCATGCCTAACACCCATCACCAGGCTACGCAAGAGGGAGGTCTGCATGCTAAAGAAACCTGGCCTAGCACCTCCTGAGCACTGTTCCAGAGGTAAGAGCACCTCAGATGCAGCTTAGGATCTCTGCTAATGGAAAGGTATCTCAGGCCCATAGAAGCAGATCCTTTGTCCACTGGAACAGCCTTCAGCAACTGACATTTTGACACCTCTCTGGCTGAAAAGGAGGAGGGCAGAAAGATAGCTCACATGGTTCCTTTAATCTGCACTCTCAATATTGTGAATGCATGAATAGGGTTATGCCTGAGCATGGCACCAGTGTACCCGGCTGGCATTCCCAAAGCTTGTGTTTGTGTACATAGGAGCAAGAGCTGCGTTGGCACATTTTGCCAGTGCACCGTGCAAAATCCATTTGCAACTGTATCCTACAATGAAGAGAAAATGCCATGGGGCATCCAGCAAAATCTATCCCAGGAACATCAAACAGACACCAAACTGGCACCCAGCTTGCATTGACATATTTCTTTGACTGCTTTTGGTGTCCTTCCAAGGACAGAGTTGGTTTGCCAGGAATTCCTTACTTGTGTGTAAGCAATCCATGGGTGTGCTTGTGCACATGCGTGACATGCACCCGCATGTGTGTGTGTGCACCTGTGTGCATGTAAGGGGTTGTGTGCGCACGTGTGTAAGCAATCCATGGGTGTGCATGTGCATATGCGTGATATGCACCCGCATGTGTATGTGTACACCTGTGTGCATGTAAGGGGTTGTGTGCGCATGTGCAGGTATGGGGGTGTGCATGTAGCGGGCTGTCTGTGTGTGCGTGCAGGCATGTGTGTGCGTGTGCAGGGGAGAAACAGGTGTGTGTGCGCACGTGTGAGGTGCATCTGTGTGTGTGTGCAGGTGTGCATGTGTAGGGGGTGTGCACATGTGCTTGTGTGTGGGTGTGCATGTGGAGGGCTGTGTGTGCATGTGCGCATGTGCGTGTGCATAGCAGAAACAGGTCAATTCATGCATGTGAGCCCTCTGTGTTTATGCAGGTGCGCAAGTTGCACCCACATGTGTGTAGAGGCGTGCGTGTTTGTACACACATTCATGCATGGGCATGTGTTTGCATGTGAGACGCAGAAGCTAGTGCATGTATGCGAGCAATCAGGGTATGTGCACACATGTGTGTGTGTGTGTGCATGTGTGTGTGTGTACGTGAGGTGCACCTGCATGTCTATGTGATGCCCCTGTCTGTGTGTGAGCATGAGGGACCAGCCTGTGCGGTGTGTGCATGAGAGCAGCGTCCTGTGCATGTGTGACCAGAAAGCCCCACGTGAGACAGCAAGGCAGATTGGTACGTGTGTGTGCGTGTGTGTATGCATGTGTGTGAGAGAGAGATCAGTGCGTGTGCGAGGTTGACACATACAGAACTCCATGTGTGGGAGTGCAGGGGGGTGTGCAAATAGGGCAAAGGGACCCACATGTGTATGAGAACGAGCCAGCTCGCCATGCATACATGCATGTGTTCATGTGCACACGCATACGCATATGTGTATGTGTGCACAGGTGTGCATGTCCCATGCATGGGCCCCTCTCCCATGCACCCAGGTGGACGGAGATATCTCCCTTGCCTGTCATGGCCAGGGTCGAGGGAGGAGACCAAGGGGACACAAGGGGGCAGTGGCAGGGCCTGGCCTTGCCCAAGGGCCAGGTGCTGCGGGAACAGTGAGCTGCACGTCTGGGTGTTGCCTGGTGCCAGCTGTGCCACCCGCCCCGTGTTGTGGGAGCTTGGGACCAGGAGAGACTCTGCCCTGCTGGTCCCACTGTGCCTCAGTTTCCAGGGAGCAAGTGAATGGGCACCTTGGTGGACAATGGTGTGTGTTTGGGCATGCCTGGGGCGGCGGGGGGAGTGTCCAGGTGAATGTGCATTTGTGCATGCCCATGTGTGCATGTTTGCAGGCGCCTGTTCCTGTACATGTGTGTTCACATACACATGTGTGTGCCTGCCTCAGTGTCCACGTCTTTACGCCGGGGAGGGAGGGGGTTGCGAGTGTCTGTGTGCATGGGTGTGGGTCTGTGTGTGTGTCTAAGGGGGTGTGTGGGGCACATGTGTTTGTGCATATATGTGCATGTCTGTGTTAAAGCGTGTGTGCGCATGTGCACTTTTGTATGTGTCCATGGGTGTACATATGTTTGTGCTCATGTGTGTTTGTGGGGGGGGTGTTTATATGTGTCTGTGTCCATGTGCGCACGTGTGCATCTGTGTGTGTGTCCATGGGTGTATGTGTTTGTGTGTGTGTTTCCATGTTGAAGTCTGTGTGCATGTGTGTTGTACATGTGTCCATGGGTGTGCATATATTTGTGTCTGTGTCTGTTTGTGCATGTCTATGTCCAAGTCTATGTGTGTACGTGCTTGTATGTTTGTGTTTCCATGTATGTGTGTTTACATGTCCATGTTCGTGTGTGTGTTTGTGTGCATGTGTGTTTGTGTGCATGTCTATGGGTGTGTGCATATGTGCATCCATGTGTGGATGTCTCTGGTCATGTGTGTGTGTGTGTGTGCACACACGTACTTCTGTATGTGTTCATGGATGTGTGTATATGTGTGTCCATCTGTATGTGTTCATTTGTGTTTGTGAGTGTGTGTATATGTGTGTGTGTGCACGCAAGGGTGCATTCATGTATGTGTGTCCGTGGGTGTGCACATATGTGTGTCTGAGTGTCCATGTCCATGTCCAAGTCTGTGTGCATGTATGTTTTGTGTGTGTGTGTCCATGGGTGCGCATACACGTGTGTCCACGTACATGTGTGTGTGTTTCTGCATGTCCGTGTTCAAGTTTGTGTCTGTATGTGCCTGTGTGTATGTGTGTGTTGGTGTATGTGTGTGTGTATGTGTGCATGTCCATGTTCAAGGCTGTTTGTGGCTGTGTGTGTGTCCGTGGGTGTCTGTGTGTTTTTGTGCATCTCCACGTTGAAGTTTACGTGTGTGTGTTTCATAGATTCATAGATGTCACGGGCCGGAAGGGGATGCACAAGGTCATCGGGTCCGGCCCCCTGCACCAGGCAGGAAAGACAAGGGGGTCGGGGGACCCCGGTGAGGTGACCGTCCCGTCTCCTCTTGAAGATTTGCAGGGACGGCGATTGCAGCACCTCTGCAGGGACCTTATTCTGCAGTCGGGACACCCTAGCTGTGAAGAAGTTTTTCCTAGAGTTGAGCCTGAACCGATCTTCCAGGAGTTCGTGGCCGTTACTCCTGGTTCTCCTCTTGGGCACCCTGGTGAACAGATGCTCACCCAGCCCTTGATGCACTCCCCTAGGGTAGTGGTAAGCTGCTACCAGGTCCCCTCTCAGCCGCCTTTTCCTCAGGCTGAAGGGTCCCAGGTCCCTCGGCCTGTCCTCGGATGGCTTGCCGTGTATGACTCTGGCTCCTCTCTGGACTCTCTCAAGCTTGTCCACGTCCTTGTTGAAGTGCGGTGCCCAGAACCAGACGCAGTGCTCCAGCTGCGGTCTCACCAGTGCCCAGGAGAGCGGAAGAATCGCCTCCTTGCTTTTGCTGGAGATGCATCGATTGATGCACACCAGAGTATTATTTGCCCTCCTGGCTGCAGCATCTTGATGAGTTTTTCTAGGATTTTCCCTGGGATAGAAGTTAGGCTGATTGGCCTGTAGTTGCCCAGGTCCTCCCTCTTCCCCTTCGTGAAGATGGGCACAACATTGGCCCTTCCCAGTCCTCAGGGACCTCCCTGAGCACCGCGGGTTGTGGAAGTTTCACCAGAGGTCCCGCGATGACCTTGGCCAGCTCCCTCAGCACTCTTGGGTGAAGTTCATCCAGTTCTGCTGACTTATAAATGTCCAACTTTTCTAACTGAGCGCAGTGTCCACCGTAGGAAGGCAGTCATTCCCACCATCTGATCCTTATTTTGCATGATTTTCCTTTTGGTCTGGTGAAATACCGAGGCAAAGTGGGCATTCGGGAGTTCAGTGTTTTCCTGAGTATCGGTTACCAGCCGTCCCGAGGTGTTGAGCAGGGCCCCACGCTCCCATTTGCTTTCCTTCTGCTCCCTACATACCTAAAGGATGACTTCTGACTGTCCTTTTGATTCCTGTTGCTAACTTAAATTCAGTCTCCGCCTTAGCTTTTCTAATCCTCTCCCAACGTGTGTGGACCGCTGTTGTACAGTCCTCCTTGGGGACTGTCCCAAATTTCCATTGTCCATACACCTCTTCCTTCTGTTTCAATAGGACCGTGATATCCCTATTGAGTCAAGAGAGCTTTCCTCCACACGGGAACGGTCTGCTTTTGTGCGTCGAGGACCGTGTCCTTGAGGAACGACCACTCTTCGTGCACCCCAGTCGCTTTCCACCCCCGGTCCCTCATCGCTTCCCCTACTATTGCCCTGAGCCTGTTGAAATTTGCTTTTTTGAAGTCCAGGACTTCAGTCCTGCTAGTTGATTTGCCTGCCTTGCGACAGACAGTGAACTTGATGATCTCGTGGTCGCTGTCGCCCAGGCTACCCTCGATATTCGGGTTGCTCACCGGATCGTCTCCTTTGGCCAAGACCAAGTCCAGGAGAGCGCTGCCCCTGGTTGGCCCTTGCACTTGGGGGGTCAGGGAGAGCTCTTCGATACAGGTCAAGAAGCTACGTGACCGATCCGACCTGGCCAAGTGTTCCTCCCAAGCGATGTCTGGGTCACTGAAGTCGCCCGTGATGACTTTGGAGCCAATGTTGGCCTCTAAGGTGTACTGCTCCCTCACACAGAGAGCAACACCTCTACCTTTTTTCCCTACTCGGTCCCTTCAGTGCAGGGTGTAGCCCTCGATGGCTACACTCCAGTTCCTTTTTGGGTCCGTGTCCTGCAGCCAGGAGCGCAGAGGAAAAGATTATTTGTGCTCCTAACTCCTTGAGCCCAGCCCCCAGAGCCCTGTAGTCACTCACGACCCGGTCTGGATTGCTCCTGGCCGCGTCACCCGTGCCCACGTGGATGAGGAGCACAGGGTAACGATCAGTGGGGCGGACAAGCCAAGGGGTCCTCTCCGCACCATCCCAGCTGTCTCGGGCCAGGGGGTCCTGTTGTGGAGGGGCAGGGGAGGAGTCGCCCTCGCCCTGCATGCTCTGGAGCCTGAGATGACCGTCTTCCAGGCAGCTCCAGGTGGATCTTTGTGGCAGGTCTTCTTCGTGGCCACCTTCTCCTCCACCTTCTTCTTCTCTCCTTCTTTTTCCTGGCGTCGGGTCTGGCAGTAGTCATCGATGTAGTCTCCTCCTCAAGCTCCCGCACCCGACTTTCCAGGGACTCCACTAGGGAGCACACCCGCACGTGTGTATGTGTATGTAGGTATGTGTGTGCATGTCCATATTTGTGTGTGTGCTGGTGTGCATGTCCATGGGTGTACATAGGTGTGTGCGTTTGCGCATGTCCATGTTCAAGTTTGTGCGTGTATAGGTGTGTGCGCTTGTCCATGTTCATTTGCTGTGCGTCGATGGGCATGTCCATGGGTATGTATATACATGTGTGTGTGTCCCTGTGTGTTGTCTGTACACGTGCACCTACATGTCCAAGTGGTTGTGCATGGGTGTGCCCATATTCAAGCACATGTGTCCGTGCATGTGTGTCCATGTGCACGTGTGGCACCACAGCCCTGTCCTGCACTGCAGGGCCCTGGCCGGACCCAGGCGCCCAGGCTCTTTATCCAGCTCAGCCCCCTCCCCACCTCTTTCTTGCAGGCCGTGGCCCCGCTGCACAGCGCACCATGCCCGGCGGTGCCGGCAGTGCCCTGCTCCTGGCCCTCAGCCTCTCCTTTCACCTGTCCCCAGGTAGGAGGCACCTGAGGGGGGGACATGGGGTCCAGACCCCCTGCCCGTGGGCCATGCGGCTGGTCCTAGGGGGGCAGGATTAGTCCTGGGACCCCCGCGGTGGCACTGGGGCAGGATGCAGTGCCAGCTGCCGCAGCTGCCGCACTCTGTGCCCAGCCACCCCAGACCAGTGCAGCAAAGGCAGCAACGTCTTCACGGAGCTGCCCGAAAACAGCGCCAACGGCACGGCCGTGGCCACACTGGCGCTGCCCGCTGCTGGCAGTGTCAAGCTGTGCCTCAGTGGTGCCGACGCCACCTGGTTCTACCTGGACGGCCGGACCGTGCGGCTGCAGGCAGCACCGGGCGCCCCACTGGACCGCGAGGTATGAGGTGCTTGCCCCCAGCCCTTGACCCCATGCCCCCGGAGATGCCAGCTGGTGCAGGGTGCCCCCAGCTGCCCCCAGGCCTCCAGCTGCGCCCCCAGCATCCCAGAGGGTTGCATGCACACACAGAGCACGCAGACACTCACAAACACATGCAGAGATATGCAGGCGTGCAGCTACATGCACATATGCGAGCAGGCAAGCATGCACACAAGCACGTGTGCACACACAGACAGAACACAGCCACTCACAAACGCACGCAGACACATACAGGCACGCTCACAGGCAGGCATGCACGCACATGCAGAGGACACAAACTCACAAACACACGCAGGTGTGCATGCTCTTACCCACATGCATGCTTGGACACGTACACACACACAAGCAAGCACATGCGCATACATGTGCAGAGACCCACAAACACATGCACAGGCACATGGCTACACACACAAGCACATGTGCATACATGTGCAGAGACTTACAAACACATGCACAGGCACATGGCTACACACATGCACACAGGCAGGCATGCACCCACACACACTTACAAGACAGACTCACAAACACACAGATGTGCAATCCCACACCTGCATGCACACTTAAACACACAGAGGCAAGCATGCATGCACACAACACACAGGACACAGAGACTCACAAACGCACTCAGACCCGCACAGGTGCACAGCTACACACACGCATGCACACAAAACACAGACATGGGGCACCCAGGGGAGATCCCAAAGCTGGGCCATGGCACAGATGTGCCTGCCCGGGGGCACTACGTCACGCCAGGGGCTGGGGCTGGAGGTGCCCGTGCCCCCGCACAGATGCACGGCTACACACACGCATGCACACATGCACACAAAACACAGACATGGGGCACCCAGGGGAGATCCCAAAGCTGGGCCATGGCACAGATGTGCCTGCCCGGGGGCACTACGTCACGCCAGGGGCTGGGGCTGGAGGTGCCCGTGCCCCCGGGGGGGTGATGGGGTCAGGGTGCGGGGGGGTCCTCACACCTGTGCTCGGGGCCGGCAGGCGCTGGAATCCCCGGTGCTGATGGTGGCCCTCACCTGCTCCGAGGACGGCTTCTCCCCGGTAAGCTTCACCCCTCCTTCAGGAGCTTCGGATGCCCGCCCCCCCAGCCACCCGGGGGTGCATGGGGGGTGCTGATGCTGCCCACCCCCCCAGGTGGAGTACCGCCTCGTGGTGCAGGTGCTGAACGAGAACGACAACCGGCCCCGCTTCCAGCCCGGCCCCGAGCTCACCCACAACGTCAGCGAGGTGACCCCCGAGCTGGGGGGCACGGGGTGCTGTGCCCGCATGTGGCACCGGCCTGATGGGGGGCAGAGGGGTGGGAGCCCAGAGGCTGCAGTGAGGGGCCTGGCTTGAGGTCTCTGTCCTGGCTGGGCTCTGGGGAGTGACGGTGTCCCTAGGGGGAGATTGGGGGCACAGGGCTGGCTCTTACCCCCTTCCCCCCCCGCCCCCTGCCCTGGTCCAGCTAGCGGCCGTGAACTCCGTGGTCTTCACAGCTCAGGCTGAGGATGGTGATGGCGACACCCTTGTCTACGTGATCGATGGTGCCTCGGTGAGCCCCTGCCCCCGGGTCTGGGCTGAGTGTTGCGGGGAGCTTGGTGCCACCCCCATGCCTGCTCTGTGCCCCCCAGGCGGACGCCAAGCATTTCCGCATCGACCTGCCCAACAGCGGGAGGATCGTCCTAGCCAAAGCGCTGGACTTCGAGACCCGGCGCCAGCTTGACTTTGTGGTCCACGCTGTGGTGAGCCATGCCTCCCGTGCCCACCCAAGGGTCCCGGCAGCCACCGTGGCCTGAGCCCCTCCGGGCATCCCGGGGCCAGGAGTCCAGCTACGCAGTCTGCCCACGCGTGGCCCCCTCAGCTTAGGGAAACCAGGGTCTCGTGGTGTCCCCCCGGCAGCAGAAAGGACGCAGGGCAAGACGGGTCCCTGTGCGAGGGATGCATGTGAGAGATCCATGTGTGTGTGCACATGTGTTGGTGCATGCACGTACATGTGTGCATGCCTGTACGGCAGACCCATGCATGTAGGTCTTGATCTGCCTGCGTGGGAATGATCCACCTGGGTGTGCCTGGGAGTGCGATTGGGCATGTGCATGTGCACATGCATACGTGTGTGTGTGCACATGTGTGGGTAGGCATGGGGGTGGGTGTATATGTGCATGGGTCCTAGGTGGATACGTGTGTGTGTGTTTGTGTGGGTCCAAAGTGAGTATGTGTGTGTGAGTGGCTCCCACGTGTGTGCATGCATGTGTGTGAGTGCCTGCGTGTGTGCATGCCCCATCCCCCGCACCCTCCCTTCAGCCGGCTCCGAACGGCTTGTTCCCAGGCCCTCGGGCCCCAGGCAGCTAATTGGGGGTGACGTGATCTTGTCAGCGCCCGTCTGCTCCGTGCTAATGAGCTCCGTCCTGGGGTTTAATCTCCCTAATGGGCCCCACCAGCTGGGTGGGGAGGGGGCTGCTGACACGGTACCTCCCCCCCACTCCCTGCTCACGTCCCCAGCCCCCAGTGCTGCAGGGCATCAGGATCCCTCCAGGTGCCCCCAGCCCCCCACCCTCCTTTGTTGTGTCTGCGGGGTGTGGGGGGCATGCGGGGCTGGTGACCCCCGCCCTCACCATCCCCTTCTCTTGCCCCTGCACGTGTCAGACTCTCCCTTGGCTCAGGGTGTGTGTGGGTGGGGGGCAGGGGAGGGTCAGTGGGTCACAGGCGGGCACATGTATGTAGGGGTGGGGGTGTGGGTGTGTGTGTGAGAGAGAGAGAGTGCATGTCCATGCGTGGCTATGTGTGTGCATGCATGTGTGTGTGCATGGGTGAACATGCACCACCCCCTCCCCGCTCCCATGGGCTGTCAGGTTCATGCACACGTGTGTATATGTGCGTGTGCGGGGGCACGTGGTCTGCAACCACCGAGACGTGGTGATTTGGCCCTCTCACTGTTTCGGAGACTTCTTGTTCTGAGCCCAGAGACGCCCAGCGTGTGCCTGTCTCTCCAAGCCCTGCCATTGTTTAGGCTTCATTCAAATTTATTTGAGACTTACTCAAACGCTGGACCCTGGCACGCTCTTACTTTGGTTTGGAAGTCACCGGCAATGCTTTTCTTATTCGTGAGACAACGCTGACAACGACATGGGTTTTTTCTGATCTCCAAGACAGACGTTGGCACCGGAAATGCCCCACGTTATGTCTCCAAATGGCTTTGACTTGCTCACTAGAGCTTCCTCAAAGGCGCTGGATCTGTCAGAAAACCCCAGCTTATCCCACTGCGTCGTGCGGCTCAGACCAATTAACTAATGAACTGAAGGCAGCGCCAGCCACGAGCTTTGTTAATGAATTGAGTTGGCTGTATCCGGTCACTTCCAGGCTTTAGAGCTAGTAGAGCTTGTCCTCAGCCCCTTGCTTGTCTTGGGAGCTTGGGGGAGCACAGCAAGGCTCCCAGGGGGGACTGGATGCAGCCAGGTTAGGCCCCGGCTCTCTCTGCATGTGCAGAAGGGGGCCTTGCCCTCCAGAGCTGGGGGATGTGTAGCCAGGCCCCAGGTCCACGAGCACAGGCAGGGAGTCCCACTGGGGCAGTGGCCCGCTGCGGTCGAACATCTCCTGCAAACTGATGTTGCTGGAGTGATTCACCCTCGGGCCTGGTTCATCTGTGTTGGCACGGCAGGCACAGGGGCTCGGTGCCCAGTCAAGAGGAGAGCTGTCCTCCGCAGCAGCCAGGCTGGATTGGCCCGGCACTGGAGGATCTCAGCATCCCCGGGAGACAGAGTTTGAGCAAGCCACGTTTTCCCACGGTGTACAGGGAGGGATGGAGGGATGAATGGGTGTATTGATAGGTGTGTATTGGGATGGATGGATGGATGGATGGATGGATGGATGGAAAGATAAGTGTGTATGGATGGGTGTGTGGAG